TACGTACCAAGTGACTTAGCTCGGCCCGTCTCCTCCGTTAGTCACGGCCTGGACGGCCCTCATGGCCCGTATCTGTTTACGTATTGGATATTACGTCATCGACTCCTAGGATAGGTCTCCTGTAGTAGTCGCTTCAACTCAGATGGTTGTAGCGGCCTTAAGGAGCCAAATTCCTGCGACGCGCCACGCCTTCTGGTGTAAACCTTGAAAATCGTGGTGACGAACCAATTTAATTTCGTTAAGTTCTCCAATGAGTTGTCGGCTGGGGCCAGCATCCATCTTTGGCCCACTGGGTATAATTTTTGAGCAGACAAACCAAAGATGTTTCTGTCGCCTCTTTGAGCTCAGAAAGCCGCAAGTTCGTACATTCGAGAGAGAATTACAAGTCAAATGTCATATAACGCTAAAAATGTAAAGTACTACAATACGCTTTTCCTCGATGTAACAGTACTTTCCCGAGGATGTCACCATCCTCTGGGATTAGTCTGTTAGTCACGTGGCACGTTGGTAGAATGTGCACGTGACGTCCGGCATATACACCGGACGGAGAGAAGTGAATATGAAGGTGATTGAACACATTGTTAGTTAGAAGGGTAAGCCTTATTACATAAGAGTAGATCACCTTAATAAAGGTTACTCTCCGTTACTACCGTACGCTTCCGGTATCAATATTACTAGGATAAGCTTATCAGTCTTATCCTCTGAGCCAACGGCCTATCCCGTGTCAGGCGATCTATCTCGCCTAGACAGCTCTATTATCTCGTGGCATCTCCCACAAGTAAGAGTTAATAACCTCTGAAAGATCCAGTTAAGAATAAGATACAGAAAGTATCTTAGTACTCGTGTCATAGTTATTCCCAGGTTGTCCTAGTTCATACTATGACCGACCTGCATGAAACCCTCGCGGATATCCTGGAGACTGTCTCACAGTCTATGCAAGATTCGCACTAAGAGAGGTTGAAGTATTTAGAATCCAGTCCCCGAGAATACGGAGGGACAATGTTCACCAACTTGGACGATCCGTCCAAAACAAATACACGTTACTCTTACATATCCGTTCTACGTCTTAAGACCGACCCTGACGACACCTTTACCCCCTTTCCGGTTTCAGTCCAAGACACGGACGAATACCGAAGTACCTGAAGGTAAGCCAGGCTTCTAAAGAAGACCTCGAGCATTTCTAGAGATACGATCTGACGATCCAAGATAATTCGATATAATGATAGGAACACACTTAATCTTTTTAATTCGAAGATGACTTCGTGGCCAAGTTGGCTAAGGCGTAAGACTGTTAATCTTAAGATCGTGAGTTCGACCCTCACCGAGGTCGCTTTATTTTTTTTTGGCTTGCTGTCTCCGTGCTTTTTCATTCTTTCGGTAAGAGTGGCTAAGTAGACCTAGACTCTAAAAGTAAACTTCTGTGCGACTATATCGGGAAGGGGGTTCATGATACCACAGACACCACGTACCAGGCATGGCGCCAAATGATACAGGAGCCTTTCATGAGAAATTGCGAGCCGCGCTTTATTGTTTGGCCTTATCGTCTAGGATCTGAAAGGTTTGGAGGATTCGTTTCCGGCTACCAATATGGTGCTGTTCCCTAGACACATACTTGATATAGATGCCAGATTTATGGTCTTTTCAAGGCCAGATAGTATTCTGGGCGCAAGACTAGAAAATCTGCAGAGCCATGCCACTCATATATCCGTGGCCTTCAGAAAACCTTGCACACTGCCTTCGGCGCCATTAATTAGACTCGCTTGGCGCAGCCGCGAAATGATTTATACGTGGCCCGTCAGACAGAATGGGGCATGAATGTGCCTGTTAACATGAAGCAGATTTTTTTGGGGCGACGAAAAAGCCAGTAAGTGAAAAGCGAACTAGGTTTCCTCGAGACATGCAGAATATTCACAAACTCCACGAAACTTAAGACCACTGAAGATTTAGCGGAGAGCGCACTACCACCATCAATAAAGGCTTACGTTGAAAATGGCGCCAAGAAACTCCGGGGACCCCTGGAGTCCTCTGAATGCTGATTTGATTCTATCAAGCTTTATTCTTTTGATGGAGTCTGCTAGGAATTGGAAAAGTTTGGATCATTTCTCGATAAATACGTTGCGATTATTTGCAATCGTGTAACAATGGGGACCAGGGAGTTACAGCTTTCTGTTCTCGATGGGATTTCTACCCAGTGCAAATGCCAAGATCGCGAAATATCGAGAACCGAGTCAGCAAAGTCTCTGCCAAGTCTCTGTCAATTGTCGAGCTCAGCCTTTCTCATTGAAGGCCACAATCAGCAACGCAAAAAGAAAAAAGAAGATGCACATTTCATTGCTGCATTGTGCTTGGCTCTTCGCCGTGATGTACGCTACACTTCACGAAGACTTGACTGGTAGTAGCAAAAGCTTTGTATAACCAGATGATGTTTATACCGACATGTTTGCCATTGCCATTACGTCTCCTATCGTGCCAATACCTTAGATGGAGCCGGCCGAGGGAAGTCGGGGCGGAATATCTTTTTGACAAGTTATCTGAAAAAAGGAGCAGAGTCTTTAAAATGAGACATTCCGGTAGCCCCATAAAGCACCGCATGTCAAAAGGCCCGTATCGGCCTGGACGGTATGCTGGGGTAAGCGTGCGCTTGACGACATGGATTTCCAGGGCAGGACTCAATAAGTCGGCAGAAGGTTGACCAGCCCATTTTTTTTTTTCAAACGACGACAAAAAACAGATTTATCTGTGGCTCCTTGAACCCGATGGGTCGAGAAAAAACAACAACAACCATATTCAAATGTTAGTATTCTTCGTCTTACCGGAGCTTTAATTAGACCCGCGGCCGCGCCGATCTATGATGGGTGCATTGGCGCGAGCACAATTGAGTCCCTATGAGTCTGAGTCCCTATGAGTCCCTATGAGTCCCTATGAGTCCCTATGAGTGCTACTCTTTGGAACAGACAAACACCAAATAAACCAAACACCAAGAACACCAAGCACCAAAAACACCAAAATAACATTGCAAACAGCATGCAAGTAAAAAGCCCACCAATCGCCCTTGCTTTTCTCATGCCCACGCCTGAGCCTGTTGAGGCCGCGCGCATGTTCTCGCGCGGCCCTAAAATACCAGGGCCATCGCAGACGGGGCCGTCCGCGCGCACTCGCAATTCAGTATAAGGCGCTGGCATCGGCCCTCCAACCCCAGGATCCGGCCCAGCAAGAAAAAGCACCCTGATCATCGGGCACGACATCCGCCCACAAGGCACACAAAGTCCCGAGATACGCATCACACAGGTCAGAGCTTGAATAACAGCCAAAGTACAAAGCTTAAGACGCAGCACACAGCGTGAATAACCGCTCAAAGCACAAAGGTTGAACAACAGCTCAAAGCACAAAGGTTGAATAACCGCTGAAAGCACAAAGGTTGAATAACCGCTCAAAGCACAAAGCGTGAATAACCGCTCAAAGCATAAAGCTTGAATATCAGCTCAAAGCACAAAGCGTGAATAACAGCTCAAAGCACAAAGGTTGAACAACAGCTCAAAG